TTGTATATAAGTTAGATAGATTTTGTTAGCCTATTAAAAGCTAATTTCTTCAATTTTTCTTTCTTTACCAAGAGCAAAAGAAAGTAATTATTTCATATTAACAATACAAAACTACTAATTAACAAAAAAAAAAAAACAATATCTAATAAAAAACAAAATAAAAAAAGGGTGAATTTTTTTAAAGAAAAACAAAAAGAGAAACAAGAAAATACAAAAAAAGAAAAATAAAGAGAAAAGCCTAAGAGCTAGCAAAAAGAAAAACTACCTCTATCAAAAAGTAAAAGGTAATCTGAAGGTTGTGACAACAAAAAGAAGAGTGTACTATTATAACTTGTGCCAAGTTTAGATAAAAATTTTATAACAAATGTAATAGTTGTTTATCTCTAGTGTAAAGTTATATCTTAATTAACCAACTTCAAAGTTATATAAAGTAGTACTGTACTTATAGATAAACAAGACATGTAGTTACAATCTGCTGAGTTTGTCTAAATTGGGATATAAACAATATTGATCTTTTAGAGAAGTAAACCAAATTCTCTACTTTTTATAAGAATTTTTGAAAAACTAATAGAAAGGTGAAAGGAGGTAAAATAGAAACCACTTGAGCTGATAAAAGGAGTGTGACTTAAAAAAAAGTAAAGTCTGTTGTAGCTCTGGGTTCTAAAAAGCCTTGTAGTTTTGTTGACAGAACTTTTGTTTTACCAAAATTTGCTACTGTAAAGAGAGCCAACTGCTTTTTTTTTCTTTGTATGTGCTACTTTTGGCTTGTATGCCAAATATAGAGCAGAGTCTCCTAGGTCTAGTTAATCATTTTTAAATCTTTACAAACTACTACTAAAGTTTTCTTAGAACTATAGTTTACAGAGCTTTGTCAATAGAATTTCTTTTTGTTTACCAGAATCTATAGCGCTTGCCAAGAGTGCCACTTGCTTTTTCTTCTTAACTAGGCTTCTGGCTTGTATGCTTAACATAATGATAAGTATTCATAGCTAGTTAACCTCTTAATACAAACTGCTACTATAGCTATTCATCTCTTTAACAGACTATTTGTTTTTCTTTGGTCAGAAAAATCAGTTAATTTTGAGATCTGTTATTATTACTTATTATTATTAGTATAATAACAATTGATTGAATTAATTAATTGATCATCATAGTCTTCATAATGTAATCTGTAATAATCTTCTTCTTCATAACATAATCAAGTTTATTGTTAATATTAAGAATATTGATAATTGAAGTTAAATATTAAATCACTAATTGCTGAAGTTATTATGATAATGTAATACATAACCCAAAGCATATAATATCTTCAAAATAGAAGATAATATAGAAGCATTAACATTAATACAACAAAGACAATATAAGAGTCTGAAGAAGAAGACTTATATACTTTTTAGCAGTATCACTACAAGATTTAAAAGACCTTGAAACTCAGACCAAGTTTTTTTACATCACTTTTCCACCTCCTGCTCAAGCTTTTAGTATTGAACCAATTACTGCTTAATTTTGATTTAGATTAATTAGTAAGCTATAGTTAATTTTTAAAAAAAGTTTAGTAATAGTTCTCTACAACTATTTATCCAATTTTAGTAAAATTTTTTTACTTTAAATTTATAAACTTATAAAATTAATTTAAAAAATATTATTTGAGTTTAAAACAATAATTGTTGAGTAATCTATATTAAATAGTTCCAAAAAATTTTATAATAAATATTGCATGGAATTTTTTATTTAATATTTCATCAAAGATTTCTTAACAATTATTAATTTATATTTAACTAAAAATTTTTTATTTGAATCTGGGAATTTTATATTTTGAGAAGATTATCTATATTTGAATAAAGAAATAGGTGAAATTATAATAATTAAATTAGTAACAGAGTTTTAAGTTAATAAAAGAGTGGGTATGCAATATTATCCAAAAACAAATTTAAATAAAACTTTAAGTTCCTACTAATATTGAACTAATATATCTACTTATATAAAACTATAAATTTAGATTTCTCTTAATGCTTTATAAGCTATACAAAGTTGATTTTTTATTTTGTATTACTTGCTGATTTATTTTTTTAATTATTCAAAAAGATCTTTTTTTTAAAAAAAAATCTTAACTGTATCAATTACTTGATTTCTGCAATTATTTTTTTCTGTCATTTTAATTTGGTATATCCAATTGAAATGACTGACTGCCAACCCAATTTTCTAATTCTATGTTAAGCATAAAGTTCTGAAATGAATATGATTTTTTTACCTGAGTTACTTGTATGAATTTAAATCAGTTGATTTAGATAAAAATATTATTTATTTATTCCTGTCAATTCATAATTATTTTAATTTTCACTAATCAATGAATGAATTTTTTAAAACAAAGAAAAATAAATAGAGAATGATGCATTTTGTTTTTTTTAGCATATTCTCATCATTTGATAATATATATTGTTTATAAAATTAATTTTTTTAATTAATCAGTAAGATCTCAAAATGACATATTTACAGGAATTAATATGCACAACATATCCAATATCAGGTTTAGAAACCAATTTGAAATTTGAAATTTTTGTTGAAATTGAAAAAATTAAAAATGAATTTCACCACCACCTATAGTTGCATGTACATACATTTATTAATAATTTCAAGAATTTTTTAAACCTTCAAGCAATGTTTTCTCAATAATTACTTAATTAAATTTGACAAAATTGTTTTTATTTTAATTATATAGTCTTGTAGAATTAAAATAAAAAAAGGTATATTGAATTTAGTATAGTAGTCACTAAAGTTTTAAAAATGCTTAAAATATCTGAAAAAATACTAAAATCAGGTGAATTTTTCTTTCTTTAAACTTTAACCAAGGATTACATGACAGGCAATTATTCAAATTCATGATATCTTTTTTATTTTAATTATATAGGTTTATAGAATTAAAATAAAAAAAATTTAATCGAATTTGAATAGCTGGTTGTCAAAAAATATTCATTAAAAGCTAAAAAAAGTTTGGCCCAGCTTCTTTTTAAAATTATCAAAACTTTGAACAAAGATTACTTAGCACTTGCTTAGTTAAATTCGGTCAAACTTTTTTATTTTAATTATACACATGATAGAATTAAAATAAAAAAATTTGACTGAATTTGATTAGATAAGTGTCAGTAATTTGCGTTTAATTTTAGGCACCTATAAAAAAATCTGCGACCAAAATTTTTTATCTTTTAATAAATATTTCTCAACAACTAGCCATTAAATTCGATCAAAATTTTTTATTTTAAATCTATGAACTTACAGAATTAAAATAGAAACAATTTTAACAAATTCAGATGCTTGGTTGTCAAGGCACCTTCATTTAAATATACTGTAAATACAACTTTTGTTGTAACATTTTTTTTTTAATAAATTTAAAAAAATTAAATGATTATTTAACAACAACCAACTATGCAAATTTAATATATTTTTTTATTTTAATTCTGTGAGTTCGTAGATTTAAAATAAAAAATTTTGATCAAATTTGAATGGCTAGTTGTTAAGAAATATTCATTAAAAACTAAAAAATGTTTGGCCGCAACTTTTTTCTATAGGCGCCTAAACTTTGAACGAAGATTATTTGGCACTTATCTAGTTAAATTCGGTCAAAATTTTTTATTTTAATTCTATAAGTATTATAATTAAAATAAAAAAGTTTGACTGAATTTAACTAGGTAAGTGCCAAGTAATCTTTGTTCAAAGTTTTGATGGCTTTAAAAAGAAGCTGCGGCCAACTTTTTTTTAGCTTTTAATGAATATTTTTTGACAACCAGCTATTCGAATTTGATCAATTTTTTTTATTTTAATTCTATGAACCCACATAATAAAATAAAAAAATTCATGAAATTGGATAATTGGCTGTCAAGCAATTCTTGGTTAAAGTTCAAAGAAAGAAAATTTCTCCTGATTTTAGTATTTTTTTCAAAGATATTTTAAGTGCTTTTAAAACTTTAGCGATGATTTCTCAACAGCTACTAAACCAAATCCAATGTACTTATTTTTACTTTAATTCTACAAGACTATATAATTAAAATAAAAAATTTTGTTAAATTTGATCAAGTAATTATTTAAAAACTTTCGAAATGTATGTAACACAAATGATCGGCAACATGCTTAACCTGGCACACAAAATATACGTGCCATATATAACTCTGATTGTTAGCTAGTGATAAATTATGATAAAATATTTATGAGAAGAAATTTGAGGTACCTCAATATCCTCCTTCATTAAGGTCTTTAGGTCTTCCCTAAATACATAATTTCGGATATCATACTGACAGATCCTGTATGAATATAAATTAATTAGTGATTTTATCGACTTAGCCATGTACTAAGAATATGTGCCGACGAACAAGGTCGCGACAAAATTTGATAAATTTCCGATAATTTCCGAAGATAAAAGATATTACAGCTGCTTTCATTATTTTGTGACATTTTCAAAATTGTTGATGACCGAATCGATAAGTTTTTGATGTCGGCCGACGTCAGTAACTTATTGATTCCGAACTTATCGATTCGGCTGTCAAAAATTTTTCAGATGTCCAAAAAATAATGAAAACAGCTGTAATCGACTTTGATTTAGCCGACTAAGCCGAATTTTAAATATCGACTTAGTCAAACCGATAAATAAGGATCGACTACAAGCACTAAAAATAATGATTACGTATCATGTATCTAAAAATAACAACGATCTAACTATAATGGAAGATAATATGAATAATTTTACATTCGGAATATTTGCCGAAATAGGTACATAATAAATATTAAATGGATGGATGAACAAATAAGGAAGGGGTAAAATTAAGAGAAAACAGTTATAAAAGTAACACTGGTTAAATATGTTTTTTTTCGAAATTTATCAAAGAAAATTAAAAGTAAGCTTTACTACATTTTCTTGAAATAGGGGTTTTTTTTTTATAAACTTATTAGAAAACTTCTTTTTTTTTAGTTTAAACTTATTTAGTTTTTATTTATAGTTTAATGATAACATGGGGTTTTGGGAATTTGTTAGTAAAATAGTAATAACCACTACAGCTGGTATTATCTTAGGTCCTGCTGCTATTCCTGTCGGTGCTGCTGTCTGGGGCACAAGTGAAATAATTAAACAGAATTCTGAAAATAAGGATGTAAGAGGAGTCTTTGGCTTTATTAGTGATTGCGGTCGTGAAACTTTTACTGGTGAAGCACTTGGCTTGGCTGCTCAAGGAGCTGTTACGGTGGTAGAATTGAGTGTAGAATTGAGTAAAACAAATAGTTCCTCAACAGCGGAGCAGCAAAGAAAACAGTTGGAGAATACTTCATAGTAGATGGTATAAAAAATTTGCTGATGTTGAAATATAGCTCTTATAGGGCATGGAGTTAAAGTGTCCGGTGACATCGTAGTTGGACTACCAGAATTGAAGCAATTAATGCAATTAAGCATAGTATTCATTTGGACAATGGGCAATGAAATTAGTAATTGTAAAGTTTGAAATCATATTACGTTTAAAATTTCTTTTGTAATTATTTTTCTTGTTTACTATTTAGCATTATATTTTTTCGTTCTTCTTTTTTCGCTTTTTTTTTTTTTTTTTTTTTATTGATAATTGTCGAGCAAAAACTTCTTTAGACAAGTTCCTGGGAATTAGCTTAGGAGTTTACTCTTTATTTACAGTAAATTATAAAAATTTCATAAAATCTGTAATCACGAATTATTGTCCATAATTAAATTATTAGGTTTACAAACATTACGGTATAAAGATAAAGTTATGAATTACTACAAAAAATATATTGATCGTATTAGGTTTTTTTTTTTTTACTAAAATTATGAAGCATATTGCTTTACTATCCAGTTATTCAGAAGTGTGGAAGTCATAAGTTATAAAAGTTCATTTAATATTCTGGGTTTGCTTACAGAGTCGATGTCGTGGAAAAATAAACATGCCAAGCAGATGTAAATGTGTTCTTCGAACATATTTATACACAATCATCTTTCGTTCCCAAAATTATTTTTAGATTCAACACAAACAGAATAAGTATATTCCGATCATTTATATAAACCATTATTTGCTTTATTAAATAATATTTTATGTCGTATTTTCTGATACAGTAATTCACTAATATAAAAAATCAAACTTTAAACTTTAAAACATCTATAACTAGCCCGTGCATCTTTTCCAATAACCACGTTAATTTTTTTAGCGCGAATACAAAAATCATAACAAAAGTAAAATTTAAATTACTACAAAATTTCATAAACCTTATATTACTTAATTTTAATGATTACAATATTTAAATCAACCATTTTTGCTAAGATGAGTTTCTGAATAATTCGAACAATTACTAATGCACTGTATTTTAAATTAGTAAGATTGTTTTAAAATAAGATACACAAATTTGCAAATACGCTTTTTGTCGGTCTCACCATAATTTTCGAAAAAAGTGGGCATTTTGGCTTACCCCCTCCAAAAGACTGAAATATACAATATATTACACCTTAATCTAATTAGTCAGGTATCATATTGAGTGACGCCAAGGGAAAATGGGATTTTCCTTGGTGTTACTCATTTGTTACTGTATTAATCAGCATACTTTAAGGCAATATAGGCATATATGAAGAATTTTTGTTAATCAGTTATTTAAAATAAGGTATTTAAATTCGCGAATCTTCATTAGGGTGATTCAAAATTAGCATATTCAGAAGATAAAAAAAAAATCGAATTTGGTATGTAATCTGTTACAATCATTTTTAATAGGAGGAAACGTCCAAATATAGATATGATTTTCATTCTTCGTTACACAGATCACTCATTGTATCGACCAGTCAAAATATCACTACGGGATTAGTCAACCAATCAAATTGCGAAATTTACAAAAAGACGAAACCATGGGATTCAAGGGGATTCAAAAAATATGTTGTAAAGCAAAGTGAGAGCTTCATGTTTGTTTAACCATTTTCAATATTCATATAAAAGATAAGTCAAGCGAGCCTTCCAAAAAAGTATTGTAAAATAATATAAAAATTTTTATTAATTGTGTAACGATTTTGTGACGTTCAACGTTTCCCCCTGTTTGTTAAATATCATTTTTTGGCATAAATAATTATTATTCTGACAGCTCTTTATGGTTAGTGATCATAATTATTTTAGCATCTATTTGTAGTTAGTGTCAACAATTATCTAACATCTATAGGTTTCGTATTTAGTGTTTGGATTAGAAATGTCGTATTATATAGGGTCTGTTCCTTGAAAATCAAGTTTAGGTCAATTTCAAGGAAAACCCCATATATTAAAATTTAACGGAATTTTCTTAGAACATAAAAAACAGTTATTGATAAATATGTTAATGCAGGCCAGATATTAGATTAATGCCAGCCAGATGATATAGTAATGCCGGCCAGATAATTTTATAAAAACAACTTTGTGAAACAAAAAGAAATATCTCTATGCACTGTTGTCATGGGGCATGTTCGGGAAAGTTTTTTGTCACATACAATTAAAATTATAATAAGAACGGCCTTCATCAGGAAGTTGTTTTTATGTAGAGTTATGTAAATATTTTATGTATATTCTAATTAAAATTATACATAGGTCTATAAACCCGATGTAGACTTACATAGTTATATATACATAAATATAATTATAAATAATATTTATTTAACAGTTATAATATCTTAAACTTTATATATCTGTAATTAGATAATAGTATTTATCTTTATTGATATTAAAAAGATTAGAAGGCTATCAAATTTTCTTTTTCGCTTTTTTAAGCATTAAACAAGCTTATTTTGCACTGTAAGGTTAGGTAAAAAGAATACGCACTTTTCCCTTCATTTGATCTAACGCCCATATCTTTATAATATAAAAGAGATTTTACTAAAAGCTTTAGCATTTGTAGAATTCAAATATTTAATGTTATTATATACTAAAACTAAATAATATTTTTAAGCTAAACTAATTAAACATTTACAGTAAAAGTTTTTTAAACATTCTTTTTTTTTTCTGATTACCATTAGTAAGCAATATAAGTCAGGGTAATGTTCTTTAAAAGTGCCTCCGCTAATATATCTTTCCCTTCATTATTGATCAAATTACCACCAAAATCCAAAAAAGTCAAAGTAGTATTTTTGCAAAGAACATCAGATAATGCTTTTATTCCTTCGAAACCAATTTGATTATTACTAAGATTCAATGAAATCAATGAAGTGTTATTGAGAAGAGCCAACACTAATACTGTTCCTCCTTCAGGACCAAGATGATTATTTTTAACATTTAAAGAGACCAAAGTATTATTTTTGCAAAGAGCATATGCTAAAGCTTTTCCACCTTCAACACCGATCTTATTAGAACTAATATTTAAAGAAGTCAAAGTATTATTTTGACAAAGAGCATCAGCTAAAGCTTTTCCTCCTTCATCACCGATCTTATTATAATTAATATTTAAAGAAGTCAAAATATTATTTCGGTAAAGAGTGTTAGCTAAAGCTTTTCCACCTTCATCACCGATCTCATTATACCAAATTTCTAAAGAAGTTAAAGTATTATTTTTGTGAAGAGCATAAGCTAAAGCTTTTCCACCTTCAATACCGATTTCATTATAACTAATATCCAAAGAATTTAAGGTATTATTTTTACTAAGGGTATCAGCTAAAGCTTTTCCACCTTGATCACCGATCTTATTATAACTAATATACAAAGAAGTCAAAGTAGTATTTTTAGAGAGAACATCAGATAATGTTTTTCCTCCTTCAGGACCAATTTGATTTCCATTAACATTTAATGAAATTAGAGTATTATTTTTGCAAAGAGCATGACCTAAAGCTTTTCCACCTTCATCACCGATCTTATTAGAACTAATATCTAAAAAAGTCAGAGTATTATTTTTACAAAGAGTATCAGCTAAGGCTTTTACTCCTTCAATACCAATCTGATTATCACAAATATTCAAAGAAGTAAGGGATGTGTTCTTGAAAAGAGCCTTCGCTAATGCTTTTCCTCCTTCAGGACCAAGCCGATTACCACTTACGTTTAAAGAAGTCAGAATAGTATTTTTGCAAAGAACATCAGCTAATGCCTCGCCTCCTCTAGAATCAAGCCCATTTTTTACAATTTCTAAGCAAGTTAAAGTAGTGTTTTTATAGAGAGCCAATATAAATAGTTTCACATCTTGATAACAACATCTATTGTCGTAAAGCTTTAAACTAGTTAAAGTTGTATTCTTGCAAAGGGCATTCGCAAATGAATTGGCTCCTTTAGGAGAGATGTAAAGATTAAAAGATAAAGATTCTAGAGTTGTGCTTTTATAAAGATTTTCTGATAATAAATCTATCATAAATTCACGTCTGTCTTCAGAAGATTTAATATAAAGCATCATTTCAGGATAAATAGGGCAACTGGGCTTCCTTTCTACAATTTCAATACATCTAATTCTATCACCGGTTCGTAAAAGCATTGAGATCAACAAATAATTGATCGTTTTAAGCATGAATATTCCACTTTCTTCGTTGAAAAATTCACTGATTTTGTTGAATAAATCATATGTATATATACGCAAGTATGTGATATATTTTGTATATTCAAATAATGGTTTTGGATCATTCGGGAGCATTATATTGAATGGAATTAAAAAAGCTTGTTCCTCAATGCTTAACAGCAATAAACATGTTCTTATAAAATTTTTATTAATAGATAAATTATCTATTCTGCTCCACAATATTGGTAAAACATGTCTACACCATTGGCGGTTTACCAGAAGACATGAGAATAGGAATTTACGATCAAGGTATTTTAATATTTCAGAAAAGCATTCACTAGGTAATGTTATCCCCATTTTGTGGAGAAATTTGAGTTTTGTCAAAATAAAACTGTAAAACTGATCTGGTTTAAATATTTTGTGCGTGTAATACAATCCAAAAAAGGAAATTCAGCCTCATAATTCCTCAGAATTATAGAAAAAGTATTGCACGCATGTGATATCATAAATTGGATGCATCTGACTAGTAGCGCCAGATATTAAACTTTATTGGCTGCGTAGCATCCATCCAATAAATATATATCATTCCAGTATTCAAATTACATAAATTGCCGAATAACACCATTATTGGGCAAATTGCCTAATATGGTAATTTGATAATTGATTGGCGGCACGTGCTCATTTGCCAAATTACTGTTATTCGACCCAATAATGTATAAATGGGTGTCGTCAAACGAAAACCAGGAATTGTGAGTTTTACGAAATTAATTTTACAGATCAAATCCAAAAAAATGAGATTTAACTCACCTTAATAATATATGTTGTGCTTAATTTAAATTTATCAGAAAGCGGATCAGAAAGCGGAGCCGGTAAAATTCGAAATTGCAGGTTTTCCCTTGACGACACCCAAATAAGCAATTGATGTATAAATCGAGACAGATTGAATTCGCGATGGTAGCATCAGCCACACTGCATAAAGCAGACCGACTTTGATGAGAA